AAGAAAATTGTTTTTAATTATTTTTGTATTAAGGTACGATTTACATACAATGGAATCCATCTTCACTGTTTTTGAGAACCTGAAGCACCCTGGGGGAATGAGCTCCCTCCCCACCCCCAGAGCGACACAGACACGATTGTGCACCCTATTTCCTGGGGCTTAGAGATTGCCCAAGGACCCCAGGATAAAAGCCATAGTCCACCCAGAGGAAACACAAAGCGAACAGGGCAAACTTTACTGGCCACTTAGCTTTATGTGCCTCAGTGGGGGACACAAGGAGCTCAGTAGTACCAGCCAGTGCGCCCGCACCCCCGGAGCTCCTGGAGGGCAGGGAAGGTATCTGGCCCACCTGGGTACCCAAAGGGAACATGGCACATGGCGAATAGGCCGAGGCTGTGGTCTGGGGCCACTCGAGGACTTTATAACCGCCGAGTAGTGGCCAATGGCGAGAGCCCAACAGAAAATGGGGTGCCACCCAGGCCTCCGGTTCCCTCCCCAGTGAGGAGGTCTGGGGATCACTCCAGAAACTGAATCCCAGTTCTACTTCTCGGCGGCCTGTGGCCTCGGGCAAGTGGCCTGCTCTCCTGAGCTCCCGAGCTCCCGTGTCCTCACCGGAAAACTGGGAATCCACGGTGCTCCTGGGGGAGGAGGTGCATGAGCAGCTGCGGATAAACTGCGCGGCTCAGCTCTGTGTTTGGCAAATGACAGGCGCCTGGTAAACACTTGCTGTCACCATTAGGAGGTCTGAACTCCAGATCTGGGACATTGTTTTTTCTTCTTCCTTCTGGCAGCTTCTTGGCATCTACATGGATAGGCCTGTGGAGCTGTTTTGGAGCCTGAAGGAAAAAATAGACCCTCCACCTTTCCCAGAATCCTCCACTTATTATTTCCTTTCCAGCCCCGGGAGCAGGCACGGGTGGGGGAGGCAGGAAATGGCCACCTCCAGGCCAGCTCAAGGTGGTGAAGGGGAGCAGGCTTCGGTGAGTGACCCCAAGGGGCCGGTCTTCCTGTGGGCGGGGGGGGGGGGGGAGGTCCACTTCACACCTCGGGACACATGCTGGGCTCCACTCCGTTCCTGCTGAAAGGCCAGCTCGGGTGTTCAATGTGAATTTTAACGTTCTAGGTAGTCCGCCTTCTTGGCTCAGAGAAGATGTTTGGGAAGACTTTTTTATGTTTTAAATCAATCAATGAGACTCTCACAGGCAAGGGGAGGTGGGCGTGCAGTTCTGAGGATGCCCTGCGTGGGCAAGCTTGTGCTCAGGCCTATTTTTGGTGGGGCTGGCTCAGTGCTGAAGCCCACAGGATGCATCTCCTGGTGCCGGGGGGTGCTGGCGCAGCCACGGCGGGCTGGTGGGGTGGCACTAGGGTGTCTCCTGGACACAACGCTCCTAGGCAATACTCCAGAGGCTATACAGTTTCTGGGGTCCCCACCTGGTCAGCATGAACGCCTGTGTTTTGAGTATCACACACACACACCAAGGTGAACAAGCCACCTTCTCCCCGCTCTCAGGAAGCTCCAAGTTTCGAGGGGGTGGCAGGTGACAGAGCGGACAGCTCTAACATGGGGTGGTGTGGGCTACTATGGGAGGGAACGCAGGGGTCTCGGGAGTCTCAAGGACGCGCGTTAACCCTCAAAGGCCAGACGGAGAGTAGGCAGGATGGGGAGCCGAGCCCCGAATGAGGAAGAGCGCGGGCTTCCTGAACAGACAGGGCTAAGAGAAAATGTTTGCAATCTTAACCTGGCTGCTGTTTTTACAGAAGTATCCCCTTATGTAAACCCCGAATTACGGACAGTCAAGTGAAGAGTTCTCCAGGCAGAGGGAGTGGCTTGCACAAAGGCCCAGAAGTGAGAAAAATAGATGTGCAGGCTGTTCCTACCCTTCTGCGTTCCTAGAAATCGGAGAGGCAACTCCCAATTGCAGTGAAGGCACGGTGCTGGCAGGAAATGGACTTGGGGATCCTCTGATCCCCTACTCCCCCACTTAGTGACCTGTGGGGCTGCAAGTTGCTTTACCCCTCCAAGCCTCAGTTTCCTTATCTGTAAAATGGCCATATTGCCACCTTCCACGGAGGGTTATTAGGAAGATTCCACCAGAGTGCATGCCGAGGGTTCGGCACAGAGCCTGGTGCTCAAGGAATGACGTCCATCACCACCATCCTGCTCATCATTTCCAGAGGGAGCCCTCAGGAAGGGACCAGGCTGACTCTTCAAATTAGGGACCATCTTGGTCCGTGCAAAGAGGCAGGGGGAACCCAGCAACACAGTCTGTTCCTTGGCTGAGTGCGCCTTAGGCTGAATGTTTCCCAAGGATTCTTGCAGGAGCAGGATCCTGGGAGCGGACGTTCCCATGCCGAGCCAAGAACCTCATATATGTGTATGTACATCATCTTACTCAATCCGTATAACCACCCGAGGATCCAGATGGGGACACTGGCTCTCAGAAGTAAAACGACTTGTTTAAGGTCACGCAGCTAGGAAGAAGTGGGCCAAGCTTTAACTCTTCGCTGTGGTTTAGAGTGATGGAGACCTACAAATGGGTTTAAAAACATGGCCAGTACTACAAACACTTGCCCAAAGCCACCTACCCAGCAAGATCCTTTAAATCAGGCTCCCCCCATCAGCTGAGCCCTGACTCTGGCTGCATCAGCATCCCATACTATTCTCATTTATTGTCCTCAAAGTCTTCCCACCACAGGGCCTTTGCATTTACCATTCCATCTGCCCCAAACTGCACTTTCCGCTGATCTTTGTGGAGCTGGTTCCTTCTTATTGGAGCTTCTGTTCCCCATTTTCGCCTCCTCAGAGCAGCTCTCCCAGTCCTCCCTAAAGAAATGTTTCCCTGCCCTTCCCCTGACTCTCACACCACTGTGTGTCTCCCCTCAGGAACATCAGCCTCTTAGGGTCACCTCTAAATCCCCAAGTCCTCGGTCCATCAATACTTGCCGAATGGGTTAAAATGCCCAGACTGTGCCAGCCCCTTTCAGAGGACAAGGGGGAACTTTCCTCCTATTTAAAGTTCCAAGAACTGAAGGCGTTCATTCTCCCCTCTGGTCAGACCTCACAGCCCCTTTCCTGATGCGCCCCCGGCCCCATCTCCCTCCCCTCCTTTGGGGTATGAAACTGGAATCCCAGGCAGCTAGAAGGGAAGCCCCATCAGCCACTTGTAGGAAGGCCACAGGGGGAACACTCAGCATCCGTCTTCCCCACGGGAGACCGGACCCAGGAAACGGGACATGATTCCCAGCATGCTCCGAGGTCCCAGCACCTGTCAAACTCACCACCAGACGGAATTCCCCCCAACTGCCTGCGTGGGGGGCTGCCACCCTGCTGGCAGAAAGCCCAGCTACAGAGAGCCCTGACTTCCACCAGTGCAGACACAAGGCAACAAGAGCTCAACTAACAGAACCAGGGGAAATCCAAGAAAGGAGGAGGGGAACCCTACCTCCTTTCTCACGTGAGCCTTGGGGTTAAACTGGACTCAAAACTTTTATATTCACACATGGTTCAAAATGAAACTATAAAAAAAATCTACAGTGAAACCTCAGTCCCTCTTCGTCCCTTCCACCCAGTCTGCAAGTATTCACTCTTCTTACTTCCTTGTGGATCCTTCCAGGGTCCTTGATGCAAACAAAGCAATTACAAATATATGCTCTTATCACTTTTTTTTAAGTGTTCCATTTATATACACTACAGTTTTTTCCCCCTCCAGTCGCAGATAATTCTGTGATTGCACATGGTAAAACATAACATGTGTATGTGATGCACGAGTGTATACACACACCCACGCACCCAGACCAGGTATTGAGGTGCTTTCTGTAATTTTCACCCAATTCTCCTGGACAGAGGTGTTTAGATTAGGAGTCAGCAGGGGTCGCCTTTCAGCCTTGGCACAAGTGGTTGGGTCATTCCCCACCCCCACCCAGGTGATCAATTATGGACCTGGCTGGCTGCCCTAAACTCAAAGCAGGTGCCAGGAGCCAGCCAGGTCCTTCCTTGAAATAACATCTGCGCTCTTTCTTAATCATCTAGCAGGTACTAGGAGAACTTCCATTCTAGAGAGAAGGAAACCGAGCGATGAAGTGACTAGCCCAAGGTCACACAGCCAGGAAGTGGTGTTGGCACGATTCACATCCGCCTGTCCAGTTTCCCCCTCACCTGGTCTCCCTCCGTCTTTGGTCCACACACCCCTCCACAGCCCGTAACAGAACCCGGCACCCCGAGCTCAGAGCCCAGGGTCAGAGGCCAGGGTCAAGTTCCCAGCCCGGCTGGACTGGGGAGGACAAACGCCACCACCGTCACTTCCCTGCGTCCAGGTCGGCCCCGCGGCGCGGCCGTTCCGTGCGCCCAGCCTCGGGCCGGATGGCAGGTCCCAGGAGCCCGGGCGAGCTCGAGGAAGGTCGTCGGGCTCCGGCCAAGTGCTCCGCGGGCGCCACCCGCTACCCGGGGAAGGGGACCCGATGAACCCACTTTACAGATGGGAGGACGAAGAGAGGCGCAGGGGGACGGGCTCGGCCCCCGAGGTCACACGGCCGGGGAATGCCCGAGCCCGGCTGCCACCCAGGTGCGCCGACTTCAAAACTTTCCGGCCCCTGCGCCTCGCGAACCCGAACGACTTTCAGGTGCGGAGCGCGCACACCAGCTGGGCGGCCCGGGCTCTCGCCCTCCGAGCCGGGACGCCAGCCCTGCCCTGGGCGAGCCGGGCCCTGCTTCCCTCCCGGGTCCGCAGTCCCCAGGCCCGGGGTTCCCTGCCAACTCCGCGGGCGCCGAGGCTGAGCGGCCGCGGCACTTACTCAGCATCGCCGCGGAGCTCCTCGCCGCAGCCGGCAAAGTGGCCGGCGGGAACCCATTTGCAGGAGGGGGAGACTGAGGCGCAGAGAGGGCCAGCTACTAGCCCAAGGTCACACAGCGCGGCGGCGCGGAGCCCGGCGGGCGGCCGTGGGCTGGGAGCCCCGAGCCAGCCGGCCGGCGGTTCCCGCCCGTGTCCCCGCGGGATACTCACAGCCGGTCTTGCCCACGAGCTCCCGCACCTCCTCGGACGCCGAGTGGGCAGCGCCCATGGTGCCTGCGGCGGGCGCCCCGGGCTGGCGTCGGCTGCGCAGCGGCCGGTCCGGCCTCGGGTCCAGCGCGGGTCGGGGCGCCGGGGACGGGTCTGAGCCGCGGGTTCCGCGTGGGGCGCGAGCGCGGCCTCTTATAGCGGCGGAGGGCGGCGCGCCGCGGTCCTAGCGCGCGCCGGCTTCGCGCACTGCGGGGATGGGGGAGCGCTCGGCCCGGGCCAGAAAGGGCGGGGAGGCGTGGAAGGGAGTGCGGGACCTAGATGCCCACCACCAAGGTTCCCTCCCCCGTCCCCCCCCCCCCCCCCCCCCCCCCGTGCAGCGGCCGTGCTCCTCGCGCCTCCCCGCCTCCGCACCCCTGCCGGCTTCGGAAAGAGGTGTGAACAGAGTTGGGGTGTAGGTGGGCGGACCCCGGGGAGGTTCCATATCCACCCCCACCCCGGTTCCATCACACATCCTCCCAGATCTCAGAAGGGAAACTCACCTGGGACAGTGAAGAAATACAGCCAGCATTAATTAGCTCTCTGGTGAACAGCAATAAAGGTAATATAATAATAGTAATCCACCTTAAATGCGCACAAGGTGCTTCGCTTGGCTCATTCCAGGAAAGCCCCTCGGCCCCTCCCAGCACCTTGATGAAGTGGACACACCACGTGCCAGAGCGGCCCATCCTAGTGGCGCAGCCCAGGAGCTTGGGGTGCGGGAGTTTTCCGAACTTGAGGAGCAGGCAGCTTCCTGGCCCTGCCCACCCCCCATCCCCATTCTGGCTCAGGCAGGGCCCAGGAGGCTGCCTTTCAAACCGCCCAGAGAATGTAATGCAGGTAGTTCCCCAAGCCTCCTGGGAGAAGTTTTGCCTTAAGTTGGCTTAAGGAATTGGATTCTGTGGTCAGGCTGGATGACCCTGGCCCGTCCTGCCACCTGTTTGACCATGATTCCTTCTACTTAAAATGAGGACAATAATAGTTAATGAGCTGTCCATCAGAAGGGCCTGCCATGGGACACCGCACAAAGCAATTGCTTTGGAATCCTGTCCATTTTACAAGGGAGGAACTGATTCTCAGAAAGGTCACACAGCCAGGGCAGAAATTCAAAGTCAACATCTTCTGGTTCTCAAGGCCAGACCACTGAGCTCCACAGTGCCTTGTGATGCGGCCATCCATGTTTGACCTGTATTCAGTGTAATGTCCTGGGTGCCAGGCTCTGTGAGAGGGCTGGAGGGGGGTGTGTGGACATGGGTCCTTTGGTGTTCACAAAGACCTAGGTGGGCCCACGTACATGAGTTTCACAGGGCACTGGGGACGGGGTGCTGAGAACCAACTGCCCATACCTATAGACTACAGAACTTCTGGGTGGGGAGAGTGGGGGGGAATCCTGAACTCAGCCAGAGCTGCAGAATGAGCCCCCCCTCCTGGTGGAAAGTCCAGCTGCCCATTACACTCTGTTGGCTTTGAAAGAGTGGGAGCAGCCCCTGGAATCTGCATGTCTTTTTTTTTTATAAAGATTTTTATTTATTTATTTGAAAGAGAGAGAGAGCACAGCAGGGGGAGCAGCAGAGGGAGAGGGAGAAGCAGACTCCCCACTGAGCAGGGAGCACAACATGGGACTCGATCCCAGGACCCTGAGATCATGACCTGAGCTCAAGGCAGACGCCCAACGACTGAGCCACCCAGGTGCCCCTGCATGTCTTTTTTTTTTTAAGATTTTATTTATTTATTTGTCAGAGAGAGAGAGCACAAGCAGGGGGAGTAGGGGGGAGAGGGAGATGCAGGCTCCCTGCTGAGCAAGGAACCCAGATGTGGGGCTTGGATCCCAGGACGCTGGGGTCATGACCTGAGCGAAAGGCAGATGCTTAACTGACTGAGCCACCCAGGCGTCCCTGGAATCTGCATTTCAAAAGCCTCCTTGGGCAGGGCTGAGGTAGCCAAGCTGGGGAAGTGCGGGCTGTGGGGCATCAGCTGGTCTGAGTTAACTGGACCCAGAGCTTGCATTTCAAGGCAGAAGGAATCAAGACACCCAGATTGACCTCAGGGTCAGGAAAGGGGTTCGGGCCCCTTGGGAATGACCCACCACTGCTGGACACAATTTTATTCTGATGTAAAACACCAGTTCCTGGAATTTTATTATATTAAATTATCCAAGGATTAAATGATGGGGCTTGCTGCCGAAGAGACTGAAAATAGCATGTTCGGGATGGCACCCCCTCCCCCTTAGCCTAGCTGCTCCCAGAGCTAGAGACAGTGCAGGTGGGTAGGGAAGAAAGCCCTGGGGCTGTGCTCTGGGGCCCTGGGGGGGGGGTGTGCACATGGCTCTGCTCTGCCCCTCGGTGATCACGAAGAGGCCCCCAGTGGGTGGGGTGAAGGGAGCCTGTTTTCATTCTGTGACCTGTCTACACGGCACCTTCATCTCAAGCCCCACTGACCACTGACAGCTCCTAGAGGAGTCCTGGCCCCTGCCCCTTCGCCTGGAACTCTCTTCCCCTCCCTCTTCCTATGGCTGGGTCTTCCTCTTCAGATCACTTCCTCTGAGAGACCTCCGCAGGGCCTCCCTCCACCCTCCTGGGTCTGCTGCCAAACAAGCCACCTTCACCAGCCTGCAGGGAGCTGGAAGAGGGGAAGGCTGAGGTGTGGTCATCAAGGGGAATTGATTTCTGATGGCAAGCCTTGGAGAAATAATCAGGAGCTCCTGGTAGCACCGGGAAGGTGGAGAGGCCGAGGCACAAGGGGGATTCGCTCCCTCATTCATTCATTGCACATTTACTGAGGCCCTGCTGTGTTCAGGCACCTGGCTGGGTCCTAGGGCCACAACCAGGAATCATCAGGAGCCACACTCTGGCTCCTAAGAAGCTCCTGGAGGAATGGGCAGACAGACACACAGGAGGTGACAATGCAGAGGGGTCAAACAAGGGCTAACTTGGGCCCAGAAAGATCTGGAATGTTCGAGCCAGAATGGTTCCTGAAAAGACTCTGTTATCCCTTAAACTGAGCTTCAGGGAGTCCATGACTTCCTCCCCGACTGCAGACCCAAATGGACAGGCCAGACGTACACACTGGGCGGACAGCTGTATCTGTGAGGTTTGGGGGCCCTGGACTCTTGCCCCCCTGCTCTGGTCGTGATGCACATACGCAGCAGGGGCTCTCCCCACCCTTCCCCTCCTCCCTCCCCCCCATCCCCCCACCGCACAAAGCCTGCTGCTGCCTGTTCCAGGACGTCAGGGCTTTAATTCAATCCCAGCGACGGATCTGTCAGCATCAGAGCAGGAAAGAGGTCTGGAGCTTTGCGTGGGGTCTGGCTGGGCTGATTGCATCTGCTGTCTGGAGTCCTGTAAGAGGGGCGCCCTGTGTGGGGATCTTCAGGTTCCCCCCACACAGCGTGACCTTCTGAGGGCTGGAAAACACTTCAGTCACCAGGCAACTGCCTCTCTTCTCCCAGAGGAGCTGATTAAAACCGGTGGCCGAGATTAGAGTGGCTGGTACCTGGGAGTCTGCAAAGGGCAGCGGCACCCAGAGCCTTCGAGGATGGTCTTCCCGCGGCTCTCCTGCATTCCTTTTAGGGAGGCTCCCAAATCATATGTGGGCAAGTGCCGTCCTGTCCCTGGGCCTCAGTTTACCCATCGGTAAAACGGCAATATTGGTGCCTTCCTCCGGGTAGCTGTGAGGATTAAATATGGATATTCGTAAAGTGCTTAAAACAGTGCCTAACAGAGGAAGTACCATCTAGTCCAGCCGTGTGTAGGTAAAGCAGGGGGAAGCCTTACTTTGGAGCATTTGCCTATTTCCAGGGTGTAAATATTCCCCCCATGTCAATTTCAAGCTACCAGTAATTTGACAAGGGGCTTGCAAAGTTCCTGAATGTCTGACAATGCGATCTTGCAAGCCAGTCGGAGCCAAATGTCACACCATTACACAGTAGACTGTTATTATTCATATGTTCACTCACTATTTTTTTTAAACTTTTAAAAAAATTTTTATTTATTTGACAGAGAGACACAGCGAGAGAGGGAACACAAGCAGGGGGAGTGGGAGAGGGAGAAGCAGGCTTCACTATTTTTTTTAAAGTTTATTTATTTAGTGATCTCTACGCCCAGAGTGGGACTTGAACCCATGACCCTGAGATTGAGAGTCACACACTCTTCTGACTGAGCCAGCCAGGCGCCCCCATTCACTCAAGATTGAGTGCCAGGAATTTAAATACTACAGGAAAGAAGCCAGTCTCTCACCTCAGGGGATCCCAGAGTCAGGAAGGAAAGATATAAACAGACCATCACAGCACACTAATAGGATACTGGCTGCTGTGGGAGTCTGGAGGAGAGGCACCCAATACATGCCCATTTTATTGATGGGAACACTGAGGTATTCACAGAATTTGTGGTAAACCAGAATCAGAGTACAGATATGAAGTTGGATAAATGGCAGTTCCTATAATACATGTCTCGATTCCCTATCCCTCTAATCACTTAGGGTTACTCCCAAGGCTCGGCAATGTTCTGGGAGCAACAAGACTCTTCCCTTAATCTTCAGGCTCCTGATTCTAAGGAAATGTACGGGGAATGCAAGTGCCCCCTTGCTTAGCCTCTGACTTAGGGAAGACTACACCTAAACCGTCTCAAACAAATAAGGATTAGTGATGCTCCCATAAAATCTGTCCAGGGTTGGAAACCCTGCAGGTGCCTCACGCCCACATCTCTGTCTGGGCTCTGACATGGGCAGTTTTTCTCTTAAGCTCATTAAGGCTTCTTATGTTGGTCTCGTGAATGGAATCGGAGAAGAATCATCTCCCATCTGCCTCTTGAATTCAAGCTGTCCTTTTGGTTATCTTGTAAACAATCCTTTCTTGCCTGAGGCACCCTGATCTTTTAGGCGAACCCTGGGTGACAATGTTCTAGCATAGACTTGACTCTGCTTTGGATCCCCTGCAAGGGTTCAGCCATTCCTGGCTGTGTAACCCAGGGGTTGCTTGCTTTGCCCTGTGAACCTTGATGCTCCCCAGCCCCATCTTGCTAGAGAGGATTCAGCAAGGCTGAAAGGGCCGGCCCCCCAACTGTCCACTCCCTTTCTCGGGGGACGAGATCCAGGACTTTACAGCCAGCCTGACTCTCCTC